TGTCCAGAGAAGGGCCACAAAAATGATCCGAGGGCTGAAGCACCTCTCCTATGAGGACAGGCTGAGGGAGTTGGGGCTGTTCAGCCTGAAACAGAAGGACCTCAGAGTGGCCTTCCAGTACCTGAAGGGGTCTACAGGAAAGCTGGAGAGGGTCTTTTTACAGGGGCTTGCAGTGAGAGGACAAGGGGTAATGGTTTTAAGCTGAAAGAAGAGAGATTTAGGTTAGAGATCAGGTGGAAATTCTTCAGTGTGAGAGCGGTGAGACACAGGAACAGGCTCTCCAGAGATGTTGTGGGGGCTCCATCCCTGAAGGTGTTCAAGGGCAGGTTGGACGGGGCTCTGAGCAGGGTTCTAGTGGGAGGTATCCCTGCCCATGCAGGGAAGTTGGAACTCTATGATCTTTATGATCCCTTCCAACTCAAAAAAATTCTGTGATTCTGAGATACGCACACTGTGGTACTCAGAATCCTCGAGCAGGCTGCAGCAGCACTGTCCACCTAATTCCAAGAGAACATTAATTCTCTTAATAAATATAAACGAACTTGGTGGTATGAATTGAGTAATCAATGGTTGTAATTCCTGCAAATTGGTACTTGCTCACCCATTTCCCTTTAAACTGCTTTTCATACTTCTGTGAAAGGCTACTTCCATCTGCCTTCAGGCAGTAAGAAATAAATAATGATTAGTATGCTCAGAATGGAGCTATGGCCCCAAAACTGTTTAGATTTACAAATCCACTAGTTCACTTGCTTCGCATAGACTTGCCTTTGCTTACTGAAGTCATTGGCTCCTCTCACTTTGGAGTTTTTAGTAAACATGGGCATGGCCATTGCTCATTTGCATCATGATCAGAGACCCTTTGAATTAATGATGCAGGAGATGCTGCATCTAATCAACATATATCATTTCACTTATTGTTACAGGAAAGACTCTTAGTCTAATACAATCTTATTTGGAAAAGATTAGTCTGTCCTTTGGAACTATTACTTGATTACTGTATATATATAAAATGCTTAGCGTGACTGTGGGGACTAGCTAGCATTTGACATTAACATGAAATTAACTGCTTGTAGCATTTTTCTAGGGCTAAAGTGGTCTACTAGATACTCACTAAGCCTTCCTTAGCATGCAGCCTGTGCAACTGCTGTCTCCAAAATAAGTGGATGGGATTGGTTTTTTTCCACAGAGCGGGAATTAATGCAGTGAAAATATTACAGTGAAGAAAAAAAAATACCATCTTTCATGTCAAAATGGCATTGTGTATTCTCTTCAATGACTGAGGGTTTCTATTATAAATAATAATAGAAAAAATAATTTTTCATCAGCTGTAGATTTAATGATGCTTGATTAACTGAACCACATTCAGTTTTAGTGCAGAGAGAATATTGGGATATCAAGGTGCTTATATTAGTCTTCCACTAACTAGCAAGAGAGTTGCCATATATTAATGTACATGACTTCATATTCACCTTGCTTATATTAATCCTATATGTTAATAGTAATGATGTGGGGTAATGATTTAGTTAGTTGAAATGTAAGTGTTTAATTTCTGATATTGGATTTTTCCTGTGTCTCAAAAATCCCTTTATTATAGTGGTTTGAGGTACAGATGTTAAAGATGCTGTATTTCTTTCAATCTTAGAGTTGCAGCAGCTAGTACAGGGAAATGTCCAGGCTTCTTGCAGACTGTTTCCTTTTTTTGGGTGGAACTCCTCATTCCAATGGTTGGGCATATTGGAGGGTATTTTTTTCTAGTTGTTGCTGATGGTTTTTTCTTCTTTTTCCTGTTTTTAGTATTTGCCTCATTGTTCCTTCCATGATATCAGATATTTGTCCATTGAATTTAGTTGTTTTCTTTCTCCTGCTGCAACACTAAGAGAACAGTGTTGTAGAATCATGGAATGGAACCTGATGCAGTAACATTAAATGGAATATTTTTGTAATTACTGCAACAGAGAGATTCCCAGTAACAGTTCTTGAGCAGTTGTTTGAGTGCCACTGAAGACCAGATGCTATGAGAATAGTGCTATTAGGATGTGTAACTTTCATGTGGAGTGATGGGCTAATTGAAGGTGCAGGAGATTTTGCCTTGCTATTGCCATCTTTAGGAATGTAGTGAGAGAGACAGTCTGTTTAGTGTGTGCATTTAGGGAATGGTTTCAAAGAAATGGCATTTTGCTTCCAGCAGAGTTCATGCTTTCATAAATTAAAACCTTGAAAACCTTGAAAGAAATTAACATGTTTTTCTCTGAAAGAGTAAAAGGTATTCATGCTGCCACCTCTTCACATTACTTTAGTGGTAAATCTCTAATAAACCAGTTTTATGGGAGGAAATGCAGATATTTTATTGTAATAGATACATGTTTCCTATTACATGGTCTTTTTAAGTTAGCCTTGCAGAACAACAGCTTCACAAATTATTTGAACAAAAACTTGTACATTTACCTGGGGTAGGAAAAAAAGGGAATGAAAATCAACATTCTGCAATACTTGTTGATAATTCAGAGTGAATGTAGAAGTTAGTTGTGGGAAACAGTTTTTGAATACAGCCTTCATGCTTGGTTAGAGTTCCTTCAGACTTTCAGTCAGTATGCACTTAATCTAAACTGTTTTCTAAGCTTAGCTTTGTAAAACAATTACTGCAAGTGCTTTTCTTACATTTTAATCAAAAAGGTTAAGATTTCTTATTTGTCATTGCTTGCTAAATTTCTTTGCACTTTTGAATTTTGGACAGAAATAGCTACTCTTGCTATGCAGTCATGCATTTAAATATTTTCAAATTGCTGAGAACAGTTAGATTTTATCTGTTACATTGCCTGTTTACTTACCAGCTGCTATTCTTTTTACCAACAAAATTAGCATTTGCTTCCTCCTAATTTATTTTTCAGTTGTAGCATTTTATTTCGGTGCTGCTTGCCTCCCTATCCAACTACATAACAGCCTATAAAAATGTTATAGTATTTCAAGTTCTTCAGTCCAAGCAAAAATCTGTGCTCCTTTTCTGATAATAATATCAAATGATTAAACTAATGCATCTGTAACCTAAAAGCTTTGATAATGTTTATTCCTCAGATGGCTTTAGTGGTTCATTTCAAGGTTAACTTTTGCATGTGAAGTTAATAGCCACAAGGATGCTGTGATCAGTATAGATTTTATTTGTTTGATTTTTTCCCTCAAAGTTAAATTAAGCTTAAAAACCTATTTCACTATTTTAAGATTGTGATTTAAAGTTCCTTTGGTACCTGGTATAAAGTGGATAAAGCAGAAAATGGAGTCAAGTTTAGGTCTGTGATAAAGATAGCTGTGTTGGTGCCTTATGTACTTGAACATGCTTATGAATAGTAAAGTCAGTGATGTTATGGCTGATATAAGTCAAGACTTAGAAAGAAGACAGGAAGCAGTTTCCAGAACAGAAATATTTGTTTACAAGATTTTTATTTCCTGTATACTGTTTTTCAAACTGTCTTCAATCAATTTTTGGCTACTATCTAATGTCACATAGTTCACAGCACAATTTCTTAGACTACAAGGAAACAGAAGAAGAAACTGTTTGGAAAAACAGTGTATGCAACTTCTGGACAAAGGGCTTCTGGTCAAAAAAAGAGCAAAAAACCCCTTTAAAAAAAATAAATAAAAAATCATGTACTTATCTTGTTGAGTACACTGGTAAGGAAATCTACATTTACCTTTATAGAGCAATTACCTGCAGTTAATAAGGAGCATTGAGTTAGCCAATCCCTGAAGAGTAGATAACACACTGGATGTTCTCATCTCTGATTCCACATACCAACAGTTGTTTGTGGCACTGGCTTTTTGAGAAGTGACCAGGATTATATGCACTGTCACTAAAGATTAAGTAGTTTGTAGAGTCTAAATTGCCTCTGAAATAGGGTATGCTTGAAATACTCTGTTTAGGGGAAGGACTTAATATGGTTCAGATGTTACAATGTTAGTTGGGGAAAGGTGGTGTTGAGATTGCCTGGTCTTGAAGGCTCGTAGTTGTAAACTATGTGAGAGGAGACAGAGAAAAGAAGATAGAATTTAGTTCTAAAATGCATCTTTAGCTTGAGAGAAGGGGCTTGTCAAACTGCTGGTTATCACTGAGAATGAGAAGCAGATTTTGTGGATCATGTTATAAAACTCAGTATTATATGTTCAGTTTGTTTTTAATATTGCAATTTGACCAAAATCTTCTTTGTAGAGAAGATTATGTGGTCACTTTTCATCTTGTTCTGGAATTTCTTGTGGTATGGTATTGCCTCACCTTCAGAATTGTGATGTCATGAGTTCCAATGGAGACTTCTCTCCTGAGGTATCAATTAGTGTTATTTAATGCAAATTGCAGTAATAGTGGTTTCCATTAGACTAGCTTATGATGGTGTTTCTTTTGAGTAGCCTCTCATTTTTGTACTGTACCATCTTTAACTTTTTAGAATTATCAGTAGCTTTTATTATTCAAATGAACCTTTGATGTTGACAGAGGGTTTCATAGATGTTGGTTTCAAGAAATCAGTTTAATTTCAATAAAAGAAAAATATTTGATCTTTTCTCTGTCTGTTCCTTAAATCATTTCTGTAACTGAGTATACGCGTTAACAAGATCATTCATTTAACCAAGTACATGCATTAATAAGGTAAAATCTCTTTGAACTTCAGTTACTTTTTACTCTTTGAATTAGATTTAAAAGAATGAAATATTAGAATTTTTACCAATAAATTCAAATGGAAATTGAATAATTTGAGCTAATGGTAGAATTAAGTGGTGACATTTCAACATAAAGTATGATGATTTGGTATATTACATTAGATATTTTCACTTAATTTTTATGAAGAGTAGAATTTTTATGAGCAGTAATTCATAAAAATATGAGTCCACTTAATGGAATAATTCTCCTTTAAGACAATTTATACTGCCATTGTTTTTTCCCCTTCTGATACCCTTTCTGAAACCTGGAAACTTTATACTCATTGTCTTTTTTTTTTTTTCTTCTCTCTCTTTAGTTTCAGCCCAGACTCTCAAGAGCAACCTTGATTCCATGAACAGTCAGATCCAGCGTCTAGAAAATGACATAAAAAATTTCCCTAAAACACAAGATGAACATGATAAGTTTGTAGAAAAGATGAGCATATCCTTTTTGCATGTCATCGTTCCTGGTGTGAACATTCTGGTCGTCTGGTTAAGTATTTACAGCACTTGAAATTGAGCTTTAAGTCTCTTCTTCCATACTTTTTTTCACAGAGAAAAGGATAAAAGTACATGTTGAAAAACTTATGAGTATAACTTAAAGCATTTATAATTAGACTTCAAAGGAGAAAAGCAGATAGCTTTCTTGAAAGGTAATAGTTATGGTGACCAGTCATAAAATAGTAGTGTGTTTTTTTTTCTCTTAAAGAAATAGTATTTAATGATAATTGTTGAATCCTTTCAATCTAGAAAGCAATCAGCAGTCGAGTTGAGAGTATTTAATATTTTAGCTTCAAGTGTGAAGGGGAGAGTAAAAATTTTGTCACTGGTTGTTATTTAAGGGATCATTTCAGAGGAAAAAAAAATACTTTCCTTTGTACTCAAGAGTGATTTGTCATTTTATTTCTGTAGGAAATAGACTTCTATAAGCACTGGTAAGGAAAATGTTTGAGAATACAAAATGATCTGTCTAGCTCATTTTCCTTCAAAAATTTTCATATATCCAGTGTCAGTTTTGCTCAAAACTATAAAATAATAGGTATGCTATAGATAGAAAAAGCTCACAAAAGTAAGCTAGACCAAGCAGAAGTCACTGTTTTAAAAAAAAATGTAAGTTTTGTACAAAGCATTTTTTCTGTATATGTGGAAGTATTTGGAGTATGATACGTGGCTAAGTCCAAGGCATTTTGTGCATTTCTAGGTGGTTGTATAGTTTGTGTGACATTTATTTTTTCTTACTGCAACTAGACAGAAGTCTTGGATTTGTGGTTTTTCAAAGGAAAAAAATAGAATGTGTAGATAAAAAATAGATGTGTAGAGCCTCTTGTAGTTGCTCATTGTATTTAGTAGGGGGATGTAACAAAAAGGTTCTCCTAACTACTCTGTATTTGGAAGCTAAGTTTTAGTAGGATTCAATGACAGAAATTCACAGGAAGATATTTAATATCTTCTCTATATGGATTTATTATAAGTTTCTGACAAGACTGCAGAAATGCAGCTTAAGGGAGACAACTCATGATTAAGTGGAAAATTGTTTTTTGTTACTTGTGTTCTCTTCCACGGTGTTTTATTTGCAAGGTTAGTTCTACTATTAAAAAAAGCCCACCACGTTTTATTTTCCTGAGGTATATTCACATTAGAAATTTTTGCAATCTAGCTTTGTAATTGTCCTTTGCCTTCTCATCATGTGTGCAGGCTGAATGCTGTCAAGCAAGCCCTGTTTTTGTTCATAAATGAAAGTGACATATTGAAATGCACCTTGTGCAACCATGTTTTCCTGTTTAGTTTGACAGCTTTGTTTTACAGGTAATATACATTATTTTTCAGTTGTGTTAAGTGCTTTGCCATTTGTTGTTTTGCTACCTGGGTATTTATTGAACTTGTAAAAGGTGTTTTGCATCACTCGAGTGATTTGGTGGAGAAAAAAGAGCTACCTAGATAATGTTTACCTTGTTCTGAATTTATTAAAGAGTAATGATAATTTGACGATGCAGAACAGTTCACAAAATACTGATTTTTAATTTTTTATTTTATTTTTTTTACAAGTGAAAACATGAGGATCCTATGAAATTTTTTGAAAATTATTAGAAGTTTCCTGGGCTTCAGTGCACATCCACTGATGTCACAGCTAGATTACCAATTCTTGGTAATTAAAGCAGGCACCCTGAACTTGAGATGTCTGACAGCTTTTATTATACTAGTGAATTTGGTGGCTTGACAAAATAGATAAGACTGTAAGAAATTAACTGATTCTGCCTAAGGATTTCTGTTTTCATAATTAATAGATGACCCGATAAAGAGTGTTTTTCTGTTTTAGAAAGTCATCTCCATTTGTGTCAAGTGATCAAACTGGTTTCTGCTTCTCATTGAATATTCAAATTTTCTACATGCCCGTATTTTGTTGGGTTTGTTTAGACTGAAGAATAAATATTAAGGGGGGCGGGGGAGAAAATAGCATCTTAATCTTCAGTAGGTATTTCTGTTGCTTCTGTCAGATTATTAAAGAATTGTTGCTGATAATGCATCCTGATATTAGAAAGTTAAAGAGTTTCAGGGTAAACATCTCTAATGTGTCTGAACATAATCTCTCACAGGAATTATACTGTA